AAAAAATTAGAGAGCTCAGTAGTAAAGGACTGGGGGCCGGGAGAGATGGCTCTGTAAAATAAGTGCTTCCCTGGCAAGCACAAAGGCCTGGTTCCGGAAAAAAAAAAAAAAAAAAAAAAGTAAAGAACCTCTATCCAAGAACCACAAAAATACATAAATAATCACATATATGCACATTAAGGAATATATTAGGCCTATTACGGCTGTCAGTCAGTGTCTTTCTCTTGCTCACGCTCACTCTCTCGTTCATTCACTCGCTTGCTCTCTCACGCTTTGTGGCTCAGAGACAGGGTCTCAGTATGTTGCTCACGCTGGGTTCCAAATCATGGTGATCCTCCTGCCTCAGCCTCCCGTGTGCTGGGATTACAGTTGTACGCCACCACTTCCAGGTCACAAAAAGAAGGAGGAGGAGGGAGAGGAGGGGAAGCAGGGGGAGGAGACAACAACTACAAAGCCGATGAAGACGAAGAAAGGACTAATGAACATCTCTTAGAGCTCACGGTCTCTGAGGCTCAGGAGCGTGGGAACAGGCAAGCTGGTGCGCAGAGGTGTCCCCAGGATCGGCAGTCATCTCATCTGCAGGCTTGACCAAGGCTGGAGATCTGTTAGAAGGTGGTTCATTCACATGGCGAAGAGAGGCCTCGGTCCTGGGGGCTGCGGAGACTAGGTGCCTCACAGCCCACACCTCCCCATGGGGCTGCCACAGCGTCGGCTGGCACAGCCAATGATCTGGGTGAGGACCTGGAAAGAACGCACTGCCTTTTGTGACCTATGGCCCAAGTCACAATCGCTTCTGCCACATTCTATGCACAGACCCCTGGGAGCGCCACCTCTGAAGAGCGGTGGCCGATTCCACACCTGCCACAAGGGGTCCTTTCCCCCTAAACAGAGTATGCAGATTCCAGCCGGCATAAGGAGGGAATTTTTTTGTTCATTCAAAGGAAAGAAAAGAAAACATAGATAATCTGGGCGAAATCATCAATAGTAACAAATCTTCCATAAATAAAATGCTACAGAACATTCTTACATATGCCAGCTCACAAATGGCTCCTCCAGATTTGCCCCGGGGTGTATTCCAGCAAGTGGTGTGTGTGTGTGTGTGTGTGTGTGTGTGTGTGTGTGTTACTGGAGACTGAACCCAAGGCCTTCCCACAGAGCTACACCCCCAGCTCCTTGTACTTTTTATTAATAACAGTCTCACTAACTTGTTAAATCATGCAGGCTGGGCTCAAATGTCTGATCTTCCTAACTCAGCCTCACAGAGTACTGGAATTATACACGTCCCTCCACACCCAGTTTATTTTAATCTTATGTAATCCAAGCTGGTTTTGGATTCGGACAGATTCCACTGTCTTGGTGTCCTGAGTGCTTGGACTACAGGATGGTCTGTATTTTATAGTAACCTATAGTATGGCTATGGCATATTTATTTATTTATTATTTATTTTTTTGCAGTACCAGAAATGGAACTCAGGATCCTGCACTTGCCAGACAAGCACTTATTCTACTGAGCTATCTCTCCGGGCCCATGGCACATTTATTTTTAAAAATACTGATCCTTTTAGTTTTTCCTTTTTTAAACAGTGAAGGGGATCTAACCCAGGTGCTAGGCAGGTGCCCCACCACTAAGCCACAGCCCAGCTCTGTAAATACCATTCATTCAACTACCGCTCTTATCCCTGAGCCCCCATACCATAGCATTTGGTTGTTGCAGGGTCTCACTATGCAGCTCAGACTCATGGTAATCTGCCTGCTTTCAGTCTCCCCAGAGCTGGGATTTCAGGCCTGCACTACACCTGGACTCTGCTGGCTTCGCCCCCTGGGGAGGCATGTGGTTCAGGAATTGAACCCAGTCCCTGTGCTTTGCCTAAGCAGGCGCTTTAGTCCACTAAGCTATCTAGGCTGCCCACACCTGAGCTTTATTCTGGGGCTTCTGAGCCTTGTCTGCTCTACCATTGCAAGCGGGCGGGCACTTGTTCTGCCCGCCAGTGGGCCTAGAGGGACACTGGTGTCTAGAAAAGGCGGTGGGCTGCTCCCACCACTTCCAGTCCAGTTCTGGCATCTCAACACAGGTCCTGGCCTGGGACCAGAGCTGGATCCAGCCTCCTCAACACCTGAGCAGTACCATCAGCACCCACAGCACGGCACCCTGCCCCTTAGCTCTGGGCCCCAGCCGCTGCCTTTGAGCTTCTGAGGTCTAATAACAAACACCCTCGGCTTTGCTCCCCAGCCTAGAGATGGGTGCTAACGCTTGCAACTTTGTTTTGTTTTGCTGTATTTTATTTTTGCTCTCTGAGGCAGGGACTCACTATGTAGCTCAGGCTTCAAACTCACAGATCCTCCTGCATTAGCCTCCAGAGAGCTGGGCTTACAGGTGTGCGCGACCAACCTCTGCTTTCTCCTGCATTATTACTGGGTGCCCTCAGTGCCCCATTTACCTAGTGCCTCCTTAACTTACACAGGGCTCCCCAGTACCTCTACAAGTGAACCCTTCCTTATGTTCATTTGTCAAAGTAATTGATCCAAGCTGGGGGATGGGGTGGAACACCCTATAATCCCAGTATCAGGAGGCTAAAATAGGAGGATCTCTCTTGGGAATTTGGGGCCCACTTGGGCCACACAGCGAGTTCAAGGCCAGCCTGAACTACATGCTGAGACACTGACTCAAAAACAAACAAAAACAGTAACTGGCACAATTATTTGAGTAAGAAGGAAATGCTTTGTCCCTTGGAGACCAACGGACAGCTAACTCTACCAGGAGCAGGTAATCAGGCTCGGCTGTCGGTGGGAAGAGTGCTCTGGAATGTCCTTGGGCCCAGCTTCAGGCAAACGTGTGTGGACACCCACAAATGTAATTGCTGTCAGAGGACATGTCTGAATTTGTTTTTGGCAGATGCTGCCAAACAATTTCTAAAATAGCTATACCAATAGCTGCATTGATTCTAATGCACTCTTAGTATTTCACACTGACTCTCAGGTTTTGTTTTGCTGTTTTTTTGTGTGTGTTTTTTTGAGACAAGAGTTTTGCTGTGTAGTTCAGGCTGGCCTTGGGCTCACTTAGCGGCCCAGGCTGTCCTCAAGCTAGGGGCAGTCCTCCTGCCTCAGCCTCCTGTGTGCTGGGATTCAAGGCATGGGTCATCACAATTAATCTGTTGACCAGAATCTTTATGTTGAAATGCTAAAGAAAACTGAGATGCACTGTCTGAGGACAAGGTTTTTCTCTATGCAGCACTGGGGTTGTGGGCAGGGCCTTTCATATGCTAGACCAGCACCATACTACTGAGCCACACACTCAGACCCACATTTTGGTGTGTGTGTTACTGGGGATCAAAGTCAGGGTGCTTTTACTACTGAACTACCAACTAGGCTTTTTTTTAAATTTTTTTTTTAATTTTTTTTTTCTTTTCAAAGTTTTATTGATAAACATATAGCAATGAGACAGTTTCAAATCAAATCGAAAGTACAGTTTCAACAAATAATACACTGCATA